TTTGTTTTTGGATTTGTCTACAATATCATGTTATAAAAAATAAATTATAATGTCTAAAGACCTTCCAGAATATGGTTCATTTTGTAGTGAGATGATGTCTTTAGAATGAAAATAAGCAAACTAGTAATGATTTGCTTTTTTATCAATTTCATCTTCATTATATATTGATGTATGCTTGAATATTGTTATTTTTATCTTTTTTCAAGTTTTTCATACAGCAATGATTAATATGAACTTCATTAATGAACTATTTGACATTCCAGTTAATATTTTTCAAGTAAAACAGAAGTTTGTTTTGTGTGTAGTTTCTTTTTATTCAAAAAGATGTGTTATTGCTTTCAGTGATGAGTCATGCTGTTAATTAAAAAGTTGCACACCTAAAACACATGATTTCAATAAAAACTTCCAGAACTTCTGTATTTATTTCATAAAAATTTGTCTTATAGTATAAAAACAAAATTTAATTTTTTTTCAATATAAGTTAATAAAATGTTAAATTAATACTTGTGCATTTCTTGTAACTTTTTTGCACATTTGTATTCTAACAATAACATTAAGTAAAGACTTGCTGTACATACAAAGTGTATAGTAAAAATTAAATTATGCAGATTTATGTTAAAATTATGGATTATGTTAAATAAATTATTCTATCAGATGTCATTTAAAACTTATTTGGTGAATTTCCTCAGATGATGATAATTTTTTATAAATTAATTGAAGACACAGACTGTCAAAAAAATTGGTAAACCACCATTTATTCACTTCACGTGCTCCAGAACATAAACCTTTGACAGTTTATATTCTGAAACAGGTTTGACGACCTGACCTTCTTTTTTAGGCTGCTTGACCGTCAAGTTTAAAAGCATTCCTTTAAAAAACACAGAAAAATATCCAATTAAAATTATGAAGTTATTATTGGAACCGGTGGATCTTACAGCCATCTTCCTGTTTCTTCATCTTTTCCATTCAGGGATTTTTGGACCTTTATATCTACTGGAGAAGTGTGCTGGTAAATGTAGATTTCTATAGTCTCCCCTTGGTGATGAATCCTTGCAAAGTTTTAATTGTTGAATTTTGTCGGATGATGATAATTTTTTATAAATTAATTGAAGACACAGACTCTGACTTTGACAGGTCGTCAAAGATATATGTTCTGGAACACATGAAGTGAATAAATAAATGGTGGTTTATCAATTTTTTGGATGGTCTGTGTCTTCAATTAATTTATAAAAAATTTAAAAGTTCTGTTAAAATCTAATAATTATGACACAGCCAGCAATTCTGTTGCAACAGTGAATGTTGAATATTAAACATGGGATATTATTTTATTTCCAGATTGTGTGTACTGCAGAATAAAAGTGCTGGAAAGTTAGAATACTGGACAGTATAGATTTTGAGAAATAGATAATTGTCTTTTGGGAAAATTATCTGAGAAACTTCTCTCCAAATTTAAAATAATAATGATTTTTCAAGATTTGACTAGTGTCAGGTTAATCCCTATTTTATAATTCTAAGGAACTGTTTCATTGTTATGAAATATCTTTTTCAGCTTTGTATGTTTACTCTGTGTAAAAAAAAACAAATGTTTGTTTTTTAGTGTTTTTGTGTTATCAATTTACAATTTGTTACATCATGTTAATTGCCATTAACATAGTGAGATGAATGTTGATTGTGTTTTTCAATTTCAAATGATTTAAATAATTTATAAATTGTAGAATTAAAATGATTAATGGTTACCTCTGAACCATTAATTATTTAAATTCTACAATTTATAAATTATTTAAAAAGTTATTCTTAAAAAGTTATATAAATTCTTCAAAGTTATTGTAGGTTTAATTCTTATTTATTCCATTAATAAATTATTAAGCATTTTTTTTTTGGCTTCATAATTTACAAAATTCATTAACACACACAAGTTGTTGCTATTTCATATGCTACTGTGCTCATTTTTTTCTCCCTCTTTTCAAACCAAGTTCAGTAATCCGTTATTTTATCAAGAAATGTTGTACTTTATTTCCCATTTATAAAAATCTTATTTAAACTAATCTTTAGTTACTTTTTCCAAAAATTATTAATATGAGTATTACATTCAAAAGTAAGTTACACTTGAATAATGTAGGTCAAGAACACTTTATTGAGAAAAGCACTACCATAAAACAACACACATACACCACACTATTTTTTTACACAATCACCCAGTCATTGTAAACATTTGTTGGAACATTGCACTAATCGTTCAATGCCTTGATGATAGAAAATCACTCCTTGGTCATGGAGCCAGCAGAGAGCAGCCATCTGAACCTGGTCATCATTGGCAAATTGGCATCCACACATGTTTGAGCTTTAGAAACATGTGAAAATTGTAAGATGTCAGATTGGGACTGTAGACTGGATGCTGCCAGACCTCCCATTCAAAACTCTAAAGCAAAGTATGTGTTGTGCATGCCTTTTGAGGTATTGTATTATTGTGCAAGAGAACAATGCTTTTGTGTAACTCTCCATGCCTGTTGTTTTTTCACAGCTTTGTGCAAAGCCTTTAGTGTTTTGCAGTATGACTCAACAATAATGGTTGTGCCCTTTGCATAAACTGAATGTACACACCTCCTTTGCAGTTGAAGAAGACAGTGGCCACGACTTTACCCACTTATGGGGCAACTTTGCATTTTGTTCTCACAAATGATGCCTCTATGCCATCAATACTCACTTCATTTCTGGGATGAAATGATGCACCTGTCTCATCATCCATAATGATGCAGCTTAGGAAATAATTGCCTTCTGCAGTGTAATGTTGAAGGGAGTCCAGAAAAATCACAAACCTTGCTCCTTTGTGTTCAGAAGTCAATGAGCGAGGAACCAATTATGAACACAATTTGTAATAATCCAGTTGGTGACAGACAATGGAATGAGCACTGCCAACAGATATTCTCAACTCCTGTACAATTTGTGCAATGGTCACTGTGTGATTGCTGAGAATCTTCCATTTACTGTATTATGTCTGCTGTGCTCACTGTTGTTGGCCTTCCTTATCCTTCTGCATCAGTCAAGTCTATGTGGCCATCTTTGAACTGCTGGCACCATTTCACTATGTCTTGCCAAACAAGGTGCAAAGTCTTCAGTCACTAATACTTTCAGTTACATTCCTACCTTGTACATAAACAATTACGTCAAGAAGCAAATAATCATTCTCTGCTGGGACCATGACACCACAGGTATGCTCACCTACATTTTCATCCCCAAGAGGTTGCTCTTGGGGATGAAAATATAGGACACTACTGCAATTATTCACCACTTTTACCCTAGTTACATTCTCACTCAGCTACTTACAGGTCACGGCAACTTTAAGCAATATTTGCATAGATTTAACCTTGGGGACAATCCACAATGCGATTATGGTATTCAGGAGGACCAAACATCACTTCACTTAGTTTTTGCTGCAAAAGGTACAATAACATTAGGGATAGTTTAATGAGAACTGCTATCCTTGAAGGGTACAATTGGCCTTGCAACCTGCACCATCTCATTCACACACATACAATGTTCTATCATCTATTCGCATTCATATCCTTTAGTGGGGCTCTTGGGAGCACTCTCTCTGGGTCATGGATGGCAGTTAGCTTTTCCTTGCTTTGTTTCAACTGTCAGTATATGGCTGCTTTCAAATTTGTATTTTAATTCTTATTTTCTGTCTTCTTTTTGGTCTAAATTCGGTGAGTTTAAGTTAGTCCTAGTTGTAAGTTAGATTAGGAACTCTTAGCTTGATTTCTGGTTAGGTTCATCCTAGGTTATGGTAGGTTAGTTTAGTTAGTGAGTAAGTTAATGTTTAAAAAAAATAAAAATAAAAAAATTTTAAAAATTTGAATGGAAACAAAATAGCTGTCTTCTTACTTTTCCATCCAAAGGCATTGGACCATACTGTTACTTGAACTTTTGTCCANCCTAGGTTATGGTAGGTTAGTTTAGTTAGTGAGTAAGTTAATGTTTAAAAAAAATAAAAATAAAAAAATTTTAAAAATTTGGGGTCTTGAGTGTTTGTCTTTTGTCTGTCTGTTCGTCTCGTCTAGTTTGTCATTGTGTTCATTTATTTTTTTTGCACTGTCTGTCTAGCTGTTAATTAAGTTGTATTAAGATTTGCACTAACATACAGTTTCATTAGCATTAAGTAGTTATAAGTCTTTCTACCAACAGCCACTTGGCACTAAACTTCTATACTTAGCTATTCGTGGCGGCACTGAATCATCGGTGTTTGCTACACTCAGGTTTTCTTTTAGACTTTTCAGGGGACTACGGCCTTGCAGTTAACATCAAACATAGAGGGTATTAGCCATACATACGCCATTCAGAGGGATCCTGCCTTTCTCTATTATCTATTTCCTCTCCCTCCTTCTTTCCTTCCCTTTCCCTTACCCTTTTTTCCTTCGGCTAAACACCGTGTGTACGGCCAAAGTCTTTCTTGTATATATGTATGGCTAGATGTGATGTTGCATGTGGCTCATACACAGTCGATATTTCACAATGAATCTCTATGCATGAGACATTCTGCATACTTCAATGTTGGAGTAAGTTTTCAGCTGATGCGCCATTTTGTTCTCATACTATGCAGCAGCACTTACTGTTACTCAAACGAAAATCCCACCTTCCGTGCAAGCTTTGCTGTTTTTGCGGAGAAATGTAACTTACTTTTCGAATTTTCTTCATAAATTTGATACATTAATAGCATGCTGAAACTAATATCATTAAATGAAAAAAAGTAAATAAATAATTATTGCTTGTAAGTGATTACTTGTTTTATGATTATTAATGTTGTTGAACAGTGATGCATCTCTAGTTGTAATACTTAGTTTTGTATGGCTTTCTGAATGTAAATTACTGTAAAGTTAGTGATATTAAAAGTTGATATTATAATATAAAAAACATGATTACAATCTTTAAAATGTTTAGAACTTTTTGTAGAAAGCTGTTTAATGAACTGTAATATAACTTTGTTTTTCTTTTTTGCTTAGTTGGCAAGAGTAATGGGAAATTCCAATTTCAATGATGTTATGGAAGCTACTCTTAGTCAGTCAAGGAAGTTGACACCTGACAGTTCCATGTAATTAATTATGAAACTTCTAAATATATTTGTTTATTTATATATATATATATTAATTTTTCTACAAAAGAAATTTATATACAGTAGAGTGTCGTTTATCCAAAGGTCTGTTATCCGAAAGAATTCCAGTCGACAAATTTAAATTTTCGCCAGTGCTGTGGCGCTGCAATTTTTGGCTATGTCTTCGGCTACTCAAATATTTTACATTTTTGATACTAAATTAACTTCTGAAGTATAATTTTTTATTGTTTTTATATTTTTCAATATATTTAATTTGTTTGTACAAAATAAAAAAATAATTTTTAACGATACAATTGTCTTCGTTAGGCTTAACATCAACGAAAATTTAATGCGAAGCGACACGCAACGGAGAAAAATTTCAACATGGGATAAATTAATATATTTTTTCGTACATAATTGGTTATCCGAAAAATAAGTTATCCGAACAACCCCAGTCCCCAATTGATTCGGATAAACGACGCTCTACTGTATATGTAAAGTGATATCCGTTGCATGTTATATTCTGTCTATAATGATCTTGAATTTGTTCTAAATATTTTGATGATTCGTAAGAAGTTTCTTCCAGATATTTTAAAGTAATGGCATGGTCTGATAACATTGACTCAATCCAGACTGATCAAAGCTTACAGTTTATTTTGAACCCACCAGTGGCCGAATGGAGAACCACTGAACGCGAGTAGTTGTTAGTCGTAGATTCGTGTCTCACTAACAATCTTGGCATGTGTTTTGTTTTCTTCACGTGTCGGACATAAATAAGATCTCGTTTTCAATGGAAAGTCTATCGTGGAGCATCCCTCATTGCCAGATTGCTTATGTGTAACCAATCAACAAATCACTTTGGATTGAAGATTTCAGATTTTTTTAAAGGAATGCTTTTACATAGATATATAAAACTAATAAAAACTTTACTGGATATAAGGTAATATTTGTTTAAAGAGATAGAAATAGCATTGGTTAGCCGCTTTGAAGAAAACAAGATCGTTCTTTAAATCAATTAAGTTTTTAATTTTTTATGCAATCCTTTCTGAAACGACATTTGCCTTGTGGAGACATTTTCATTAATTTAGTGTGCCTTAAATCTACTTAAAACAAATAAGATGTAGGATATTTAATGACTTAAATATTCTCAAAACAATTATTGATAAATACCTGTATTTTAGAAAATAAACGAATTTAAAAATTTCAACGAATTTATTTATATTATT